ACCGGGTACAGCTGCAGGTGAAGGCTGCTGATCTACGTTCTTGCATGCGTCCTCGGCAGAAAGCAGCAAAGAGGACCGCAAAGCTGAAAGAAACAGTGCTTCACTACTTGTCAACCTGCTGAGAGGCCAGTGTTACATGGTGAGCAGCCTGGGTACTCGCCAGCGTAAGTCCTGTCTGAACTCCGGCTCTTCTCCTTTGGTCCCTTGCCAGCAGGGCTGGCAGTTGAGGGTAGAGGATGATTGTTCAGCATTTTAAAGGGCAAAGAAATATCGGCTGATAATTCTTTACTTTATTCTCTCAGCCTTTTCTAATTAAGGGTATTACTCAAGGTGAAGTGCAAGCCTTACCAAAGATTATCCCAAGTTGCTATAATAGTACCTCATTATCATTATTATTACAATCTGAGGGCATGGCAGAGTGCAAAAAAAAAAGAGAGGAAAGCAAGGAGCCTGACGGGAATGTTGTCATTTCCTCCTCCCGTGGGGCTCAGTTATTAATGCCTTGTTACGAGCCATACGATTTGAGAGCAGTTAAATAAAGACCTGGTAGGATGGAGCAGGAATGACTGGAGTGTCACACCAGCGCCGCACAGCGCTGCATGCATGGATGCAACGTAATGGTGGTGTGGGTCATATTGGGCTGGAGAAAGTCACGATGCTGAACCCAAGTGGAGCTGACCCCCGTCCTTTTGAATCTGTTGGCGCATCTATTTCAGTCAGTCTCTTCGCACCACAAGATCGAAGTGGGGTGAAAGCCAAGGGAGTGGCCTCCGGCAGGGCCTTTGTCTTGCATGACAGGAGGCTTTATAGATCGAGTAATTAGCAATTATTGTCGCTAGAGGTCAGTGCAGGCCAAGTGTGGAGCGGCCCTCTGTGAATAGTCCGCTGGAAAGGGAGTACAGGGCAGCACTGTGGCATTTGCGAGTGAAGAAACATTTTGTTCCTTGAGTAACTTGTCAAAACTGAGGTCAAAGGCAGCTTTGCTATTATAAATACGTCCACTTGTTCAGAAACACCTGCTTTCTAAGGACCGTTTCCAGTTTGCTGGATCCTCTGCTCCAACATAACTCCTCTTGTCAACTAGTTAAACAGACCATGCGCATCTAGACTAGAAGGGGTATGGAAGAGGATGCTGATAAATGTTTGTCTTGCTTAATAATTTGGGGGTCCTTAATTCTTTTTTTTTTTTGTGAAATAATTGGTGAGAGCTTTAAAACCAGGGCTCTGATCCCCACAGTTTTCTTGGGGCTTTGGCTAGTTCCAAGAACCCTTTGATAGGCGAGTCTGAACTTTACAGGCGAAGCAAACGTAATAACCTAGGAAGCGTGCAAATCCAGAGGCCAAAGCAAAGCAACCCAGAGGCTAACAGCACGCATTATGCTGTGTGGATGCTGTTCCTTTCATAGCAAATGATTGCTACATGGTGGGCCCTGTGCAAACACGCCCAACATCATCCACCGCTCTTTCCCGGCTCCGCCAGTAGCCCACAGCAGGCTGATACTGTGAATTTGAGGTATGAGAAGGATGCTGTTGTGCTTTTACCTCCTGGCACATGCTCCTCTGCAAAGCAGCTGTCAGCCCAACCTCAGCATGGCTTTTATAGGCTGTGAAATAGCAGAGCATAATTGAGCATTTGGCTCTGTTGTTCTGAGTGATTTTTCTGTAGCACATTTCACTTGGTAAGTTCACGCAAATGAATTCTTTGATGTTTGCTGCCGTTGCCTTTCTGAAGGCCTAAAAAAAGACCGAGGAGGCCACCTGGGTCCTGGTTCTTCCAAAGGTATGTACCCATGACATGCTCCCATCACTGGGTTTAATCTGGTCCCAAGGATTACCGTGCTTCCACGTTCAGGAAAGCACCCTAGTTCAGGATAGCAGGATAGCAAGTGCTCATTGGAGACCATCAATAGTGAATCATCCTCAATGGCGCCACGCTGGATTACAAGACATCGCTCATTTTGGGCAAACTCGCCCTGTTACGGAGGTAGATAGACGAAGGGAAAGAGTTGTGCCCCAGCGTCACCGACTTCTTCCTCCTGGAACTGTTTGCCACTTCTGCAGTCATCTTTGCACTGAGGGACTGCTGCTGCTGATGAATGGCCAGCCTCTGGGCTTTCCTTAGCTGATGCCTTGCTATGGAGATGGACTTTGCAACCCTTTTAGTCAAGAACCAGATGAATGAAATACTGAGGATGCAAAGGATTCATCCTAAATCAACTTTTGTCCTTGGAGGGGCCTTAGGAACAATTCCAATTTTCAACACCTGTATGATATGACAAACTGTGCAAAAGTAAAGGGAGAAAAGGCGCCAGGCTGAGTGCTCAGCTCAGAGGGGTGATGGTGGAGAAAATCTGTATAAATTGCTTTGCTCGCTGCTGAGTCGCTGCTTCATTGGCACAGAGGTCAGAGATCGATTGAGCATGCAGCCAGAACAACTCTTTTACTCCTAGAACTAGTCCCTCCAGGTCCAGGCTGATGTGATAGTATTGGAAATCTTGTATTGCCTCTGCCCATGCTGAATCCTCTCTGTGGATAAACAGGTGCATTTACTCTCCAGGGCTGCCGATCTTGTAACGTTCATAAACACTAAATTCACAGGAGCATCACCATTCACTAAACTGGATTTAAAAAATAATCCAGCTGCCTGCCCCTGGATGAGAATAAAGAGTCTCTCCTTGACTGGGTGGCTTATGGATGATATCAGGGTGGGGAGGCATTGGCTGAGGTAGTTTGTCCTCCTGGCTGAACCTGGACAGTTCTTTACATTGCAGGGAAAAGGTAAGAGATACCACCGTGAGCTGGTTTATGGCTCAGGTGGTTTTACTTACCTGGCAGGGGAGATAGTCTTCTTCCTGGCCTCGGATGCCTTGGTGCAGGGGATGGAGACCTGCCCATTGCACTGCAGGCAGCTTGACCCCTGTAAGACTCTACAAAAGCCTTCAGATGAGAGGATCTTGGCTACACAATTTATGGTGATGAGGGATTGCTCTTAGGCTTTCCCCTCTAGCTTGCTCCTTTGGCCTTTTGGCTAGGGGCAAGCAAGACTAGGTGGCATCTGAGCTCCAAGGCCTCCAGGCTTGGGGCTTGGATGTAGGGTGCCTCCCACGGATTTGGGAGTATCTAAAGCCCCAGGCCGAAGAGTCTGGGAGGCAGGATACTTGCCAGTGGTAGCGCCACAGGCTTGAACAGCTGGGCTGTGCTCAGTAAATAGAATTTGGAACTGATTTGGCCCGAGACACGACATATATTTAAGAAAAAAGAAAGGGTCATCAGCAAAACATGTAGGTGGCTATGCTAAATGGCTTTGAGCCCCCAGTGGAGGCAATATACTGTGCTTTTTATTGGAGGTCAGCAGTAAAATCCATGTCTCAACATCCATGACTGTGATGGTGTGTGCATTAGAGAAGACTCATAAATAATGCAGGGAACATCCAATTAAATGTTCTTCTCAACCACCCAACAGGAACAACATTTATTGTGACTACTGGACTTAATGAACTTTCCCTTCTCAAACTGAAGGTTTTCTACTAAGCAGAACAAAATAGATCTGTCCTGTCTATTTTAGGCATTTCTAATGTATCCATCACCATCTTAGACAAACTTTATCTTACTGTAAAGATCATTGCTTGCAGTCCAGTTATTAGAACGATATTAAATAATTACACAAGAAAACTCCAGCTCAGGTTAAAAACTATGGTAAATGTGTCTTAACTGTAGGAAGAGTGTAGTTAAGCTGTGTGGGTTCAATGTTATATTGAATTACTGTGATAAAATGTGTTGATCCACAGGATAGTTTTATGCCAGTTTCTGCAATTTTACTACTTTGGATTTATAGAAAAGTTCCTTCAAATTGGTAGATGTTTTTTAGTTCTGTCATTCAGTTCTTGTGATTTCCAAACACTGCCTACTAAAACTTTCCGCTTGAGATAGTAGGTGATGGGTCTGTAGTGACAGCTACATTGCCGGATTTCTTTGGCATTGTTGCAGATAGACATAGGCCCACTATCATCCCCAAATGGCAGGGGAGAAGAGTGGGAAACAAGGTCTTCTCCTTGCTTTATCTTAAGGTTTTCTACAGAGGAGGTCCATAGGAAAACAGGGTTTTCAAAAGTTGGGTGTCTGAGGTTAGGGTCCTAAGTCCTTATTTAGGTACTTATTGGTCTCCTGAGTGCAAGGCCCCGGGCTCTAGACCCCAGGCTGGCCTGGCTGTTATCATCCTCCTGACAAGTTGCAACATTTCCCCTACAGCTGCCTTGGGTATCATCCCTCAAGGAGTGCTGCAGAGCCAACTAGCTGGCCTCCCAAGCACAACTTCCTGGGTTTTCGACAGCAGTCCGACTTAGCCATGGTCCTCTTCCTGGCCAGGTATAACCTTTTTTTATTTATTTTTTCCCCTTGCCTCCCACAGGCAATACCTGTTATGGAGTCCAGTAGAGAGGACTCTTGGGGGAGGCTGGAGGAAAAAGCACCAATTTTACTGTCTTGTTTACCAACACATTCCCCCCTGAATCTGTGTGCAAGATATGGCTTTCTAGGTCACCCTTGCAATGTGTATCAAGGGAAAAACATTCCTTATTTGAATCCTGTGTGGTTTTGGATATGATGCCCGTTGTGTGCTGCGTTATAGCAGAACCATCCTCTTTGCTTTCCTAATGCATTTAGATGTTTGTGCTGCAGCAAGAGGTACAAGGAAGTGGGTAACAGCTGTGGGGCTATTAAGGTTTAACCTTGGTAGCTACTGAGCAGATTGGAGGTAGATAAGAAAGCCCTATCGTGGCCACAGAATGGCATTTGATTCTTCCTTCTCGTCGTTAACGTTGCAAACATCCTGCAGAGCCTGCTTTGGCTCTAGGGCAACGGTGTCCAACCTTTTTGAATGTGGGGCCGGATCCCGAACTTTTCATCACCCAGTGGACCTGCGAGCCTTGTTCAAAGACCTCACAGGAAGTGGTATCGCATCAGGAGGTGACCTTTGACACCAATGAAGTTGCATGGTGCTGGTTGACGTGGCATGCATGCTCAGGTTGACATGGTGCAGCAGGAGCCGCTTGGCTACAACCAGGTTGACCTGGGGCTGGAGAAGCCGCGGGGCCAGGCCAGGGTTGACCTGGGGCCCACCCAGCCTGCCGGTGCCATGCCCGGGTTGACATGGTGCTGCAGGACCCGCCTGGGCAGAACCAGGTCGGCACCGGCCAGGAAAAGCAGCACGCGGCTGAAGCCGGCTTCCCACGTGCTGCTGTCCCATCCCGAGCAGCACGCGGCTCTGCCGCCACTTCTGCTGACCGGTGCAGACCTGGCCGGCCTCCTCCCGTCCCCAGCAGCACCTGGGAAGCGGCCCCCCCAGGGCCTCGCGCGCGGGTGACCTGGCCCGGAGAGCCGCAGCGCCTGGGGGAAGACTGCCCGGGGGAGCAGGCGCTGCCTTGCTGTGGGGCAGGGCAGGGCAGCGCCCGGCTCCGGCAACCACGTGCCCCACAGCACCGGCCCGGCCCGGCCCGGCCCCGAGGCGCCACCAGCTCCGTGCTGGAACCTACCTAGTACGTCCATCCACCACGCGTGTGGGCAGGGCGCGGGCCATGCTGTAGCTCCCCCAGCCGCGCGCCGGGGGCAAGGAGTGGAGCCAGAGGAGAAATTGCAGGTGCTGTCCCGCTTTGCCTCGCCGCTGCCCCGCCACCACCGTGGAGTGTGGCGTGGGCGCCAAGACTCCTTGCCTGTCCGGAGGGAGGGACCTTGGGCCAGATAAAATGGCTTGGCGGGCTGTATGGCGGCCCGCAGGCCGTATGTTGGACAAGCCTGCTCTAGGGCTTGCATCCTTGTTGGCAGTGGACATGTCCTGGAGAAGACAGGACACAGATGGGGCGACAAGGCCGAAAGGGCAGTTGTCACCAAGAGCACGTTGCCAGCTGAGGCTTGAACTTAAGAAGCGTCCGTCTCCTGACCCTAGGCTCAGATGGAGGCCCTTATTGACTGACTTTTATAGTACACACCACTGAAAAGGAAATAGGAATCGAGAAAGCTTTCTGGGAACTAACGTGGTTCAAAGTATCGTGCCTGTTGCTTGTTATTAGTTATATTATTCTCACGTGGTGCCAGTGAAGGAAAGCAATGGAGCACTGCAGAATGATGTTTGCTAAGGAGCCGTCCTCTTCGCATACATGTTTTTACGTACAATGATTTTCATGCCGCTTGCTAAGAGAAGACGGGAGGCGCCCCTGGACATCAGACAGAAGAATCGTTTCCAAACACCGAAGCTTCCTTTGAGTTCTGTGTTTTATCTTATTTTAAATATACTCAGGGTTTTTGAACAGTCTTTTTTAATGTTGGGGAGTTTGGAGGACAGATTTTAATTTACAGGAAAGCTGAAGCTAAGATTGCCAGGGCATCTTGATGCTGCCTGCACACAACATTGACTAAGCTAGGCTGTTTTTCAATACTTATAGCTGCATGTCATGCATTTTACAGCCAGGCAGCTGGTCATTCAGCAGTGACACTGATGTGGAAAGTTGCCTAACGGCATAATGTAAAAGCTGACTCCTGCCCATTGCTTCCCATATGCCAGCAATGATGAAGCGACCCTGGGCTATTTTTTTCTTTGTTTTTTGAGATGTTGATGGCTCTGGCCCAGAACAGTTGTGAGCACTGAGAAACTGCGTCAGCTCTGCTTGTTACTACACGGGATTTCATTCACCTTCCGGGGGGAAGTGCTATGTTATGAGAGAAGAAGTTTGTAGGTGGGTTAGCTGCCTTCGAAGTGCTGCTTAATGCAGTCTGGACAGATGCACCGGTCTGATTCCCCTCTCTCTCCCATTTTCCACCAGTGTAATCGAACCGATTTCCCAGTCCACGTGCTCCAACTTTCTGCTGGTATAAGTGAGGAGAGAATCCAGATGATAGCTTTGGCATGCCAGGAAGGAGCAGCAGTCTTGAAAGTCTCCTTTTCCAGACATGGTTTTCATAGATTTCATAGACATTCGGGCTGGAAGGGACCTCGGAAGATCATCGAGTCCAGCCCCTGCCCAAAGGGCAGGAAGTCAGCTGGGGTCACAGGATCCCAGTGAGATAAGCATCCAATTTACTCTTGAAGGTGTTCAATCTAGGTGCTTGAACCACCTCCGATGGCAGGCTGTTCGAGACCTTGGGGGTTCGGACAGTAAAGAAATTCTTCCTTGTGTCCAGCCTGAAACGGTCTTGCAGTAGTTTATAACCGTTCGACCTTGTGATCCCTTGGGGTGCTCTGGTGAACAAACGTTCCCCCAGATCCTGG